TGAGAGCCAATCCAGTAAGAGTCAATAAGTTCAGTCAAGGGTCGAATTCTAAAAAGTTTAATTTTGAGTGTTTTTGTTGTCATGAGTGGGGTCACCCATGGTATGCTTGTCCTAAGGATCCTCCAAATTGGGTCCCCCCACTGCAGCTATTATCTGAAAAGGGTAAGGCAGCCATAGCAAATATAGCAAGTCATTCTACAAGTCAAAATGAGTCCAAAGATTCTGACGGTCCTGTTCTTTTCAACGCTGCTACTTGCATGCACGTTTTTTCTACTAGTAGTGAGGAGTTTATTCTTGATAGTGGCTGTTCTGAAACCATGACTCCCTATCAGTCCATTCTCAAGGATTTTCAGCCCCCATATGACTCAAAAGCTAAGACTCTTGCTGATCTTGGCAAAGTACCTATCAAAGGAGTCGGCAAGCTTGAGTTCGAAAAAGATGGTAAGTCATTTTGTGTTCATTAAGCTTTGTTTGTTCCTGATTTGGAAGCAAACTTTCTCTCAGCTGGACAACTCGAAGAGAAAGGTGCCTCTGTACTCTTGCAAGGGGGGAAAGCCAAAGTGTGGGAGTGTGCAGGAAATTTGGTGGCTAAAGGTGAGCGTATCGGGCTGCTCTACAAGATGAAGTTGGAGATTAAGCGCGGCTCTAGCAACACAAAGAACGGCTTTGTCTTGCTTCCCGCTGTTTCAATTGATGAAGTCAACAACAAACGGAGTATCTCCCAATCTGAGGTATGGCATGCACGCTCAGGGCACTTGGGAATGCAAACATTGAAAGAGTTGGTAAATCACAAGAGCGTGGAAGGATTTAGTTTGAGTGAAAGTGCAGTCAAGTCCCTTTCTTCCGTTCCATGTCCATCTTGTGTCGAAGGTAAGCTAGCTAGAAAGCCATTTTTCCCTTCTAAGTCTCAGTCAAGGGACCTCCAAGAGTTGGTCCACACTGATGTATTCGGACCCATGCAAGACCCTACTCGACCTGGTAAGAGATCTTTGGTGTTCTTCATTGATGACAAGAGTCGTTTCTCGTGGTCCTTTTTCATCAACACCAAGGATGAAGTTCACAAGTGTTTCAAGCAATGGCTAGCACTTGTTGAGAGAGAGTCAGGGAAGAAGTGACTCACCTTGAGGTTGTTGGAGTAGGCTAGAGCTCGCTGTCAAAACATTATAGCTCATGCATATTGTGTAGGCTATATTGGGGTAGCCCATAAGGGGTACAACCAAATTAGGGTTAGTACTTGTACCCAATTCATTCATAGTTCATTCATTCTCGTTTCAGTTTTCTCATGGTACCAGAGCTGAGACTGGGGGTGCTGAGACTGGGGGTGCTGAGACTGGGGGTGCTGAGACTACGAGTGCTGAGACTGGGGGTTCTGAGCCTGGGGGTGCTGAGCCTGGGGGTGCTACGCCTGGAGGTGCTGAGCCTGGGGGTGCGGAGCCTGAGGGAGCTGGGCCTGCTAGTGCTGTGCCTGGCGGTTCTACGGGTGCTTCTTCTTGCCGGGAGCCACTCTCTCCACAGGAGGTGCGTGAGTGGTTTGCCCGGCGCTGGAGGCAAGCTGCTGGAGCTGGAGGTGCTGCGGGTACTGGAGGTTCTGTTGCTGCTGAGGGAGCTGGTGCCACGGGTCCCGGAGGTGCTCGTACTGAGAGTACTGGAGCTACTGGACCTGCGGGTACTTCTGGAGCTAGAGCTGCTGCAGGTGTTGACGCGGAGGCTACTGCTGTCGGTCCTGGAGGCGGTCCTGCTGGGGGTACTACTGGTGCTGCTGGGGGTACTGGAGCTGGACCTGCTACTGGTGCTGGTGCTGCCACTGGGGGTGCTGGTGCTGTCCCTGCTGTGTCTGAAGTCGCCGCACGGCCTCGACCGTACTTCGTTCCGCTCCTTCAGCAGGTTCTTGATCTCCCGTCTTCTACTGGTCCTCCTCCTCCCTTAGAGTGTCCACACCCTGTCCCGTCGCAGTTACAGTTACAGCCGGCCTCCCCACTGCCTGCTCCGTCACCCTACACTGGTCCTACTAGAGGTCTTGCTGAGCGTCGTGAGCCTGCGTCTCGCCCTGCGTCGCCTGTCCGTGCTGCTCGCACTAGTGGTCGCAGTTCGCGTCAGCGTCCTCCTCCTGTCCCTGGCACGCACCGGATGTCTCTGGTCCGTCCACTGCTCCTCTGCGTGCCCCTTTGCCTTCTCCTCCTGAGTCTTCTCTTCCTGCTCTTGCTGACCCTGAGTCGGACTCTCTTCGTGCTGCCAGTCCTACTGTCACGCGTCTCCTTGCTACTGTTGTCACTGACCCTTCTGTCAGCATTTATATTTATAACTGCCTGTAGCTGTAGTTAGTGTAGTTATTACAAACTTTGTTAGGTGGTGCACCTTCTTTGTTCACATGCTATATGTTCTTGCAAACCTATAGTGAACTCACCTTTTCCAACTTACTCGATACCTTCCCTTGGCACAAACCACTCGATATCCCCTAGGCCTAGGCTACTAAGCCTAGGCCTACTTAACTCTCAATTACTCTTAGAGCTCGTGATTCTAACACCTTCCTTTGAGTCAGCTGCTGCGTCTGCCCTAGTTGCTGAGCTCGTCGACTTTGCTGCTCGCTGTCGCCTAGACTCCGCCGCCAGTCTTGTTGCTGAGTCTGAGTCTGTCTGTCCTCCGTCCGTTGGGGGTGAGTGTGCCCTTGGCACGGACGTCCTTGAGGACAGGCAGGAGGAGTTCCAGTGCTTGGCAGCTGCTTCACCTCATCTCGTGTCCGTACTGCTTACCTCTGAGGGAGACCCGGATGCACTTGACATCCCGACTCCGCGCTCTTACGTGGAGGCGATAGAGGGTCCCTACTCCTCTCAGTGGCAGGCAGCTATGGACGCAGAGATGGCTTCCTGGAAGTCCATAGGCACCTACGTTGACGCTGTTCCCCCTCCTGGGGCGAACATCATCAATGGCATGTGGATTTTCAGGGTGAAGCGACCGCCGGGTTCTTCGCCTGTCTGCAAGGGGAGTTACGTGGCTCGTGGCTTCAATCAGCGGCAAGGAGTTGACTACTTTCAGACCTTCTCTCCCACCCCAAAGATGACCACTCTTCGGGTACTGCTGCACATCACCGCTCACCGTGACTACGAGCTTCACTCTCTTGACTTCAGCACTGTTTTCTTGCAGGGCAGCCTGCACGAGGAGATCTGGCTGCGCCGCCCACCTGGCTTCACTGGGTCTTTTCCTCCTGGCACCCAGTGGAGCCTCTGGCGGCCAGTCTACGGTCTTCGCCAGGCACCGCGTGAGTGGCACGACACACTGAGGACTACACTTGCGGCTCTTGGGTTTGCTCCCTCTACTGCCGACCCGTCGCTGTTTCTGCGCACCGACACTTCTTTGCCGCCGTTCTACATCCTCGTGTACGTCGACGACTTGGTCTTTGCCACAGCTGACACTGCTGGACTCGCCCACGTGAAGTCCGAGCTGCAGAAGAGACACACATGCAGTGACCTGGGTGAACTGCGCAGCTACCTTGGCTTGCAGATCACTCGAGACAGAGCACGCCGCACCATTACCCTGACTGAGTCACACATGGTGCAGCAGGTCCTTCAGCGCTTCGGCTTCACGTACTCCTCGCCTCAGGCCACTCCTCTGCCTACTCGCCAATCGCTCCCAGCTCTGCCTTCGGATGAGTCGGTAGAGTCGAGTGGCCCGTACCCAGAGCTTGTTGGCTGCCTCATGTACCTGATGACCTGCACACGACCTGACATTGCATACCCTCTTTGAATTCTCGCACGCTATGTTGCTCCTGGGAGACAAAGACCGGAGCACATGGCTGCAGCGAAGAGGGTGTTGCGCTACTTGTGCAGTACGTCGGGCATAGGGCTTGTGCTTGGAGGGCAGAGTCCAGTGGTCCTTACTGGGCACGCAGACGCTTCTTGGGCTGACGACCAGGCTACGCAGCGGTCGTCACAGGGTTACACCTTCAGCCTTGGTTCCGGCTCTGTTTCGTGGCGGGCTACTCGCTCGTCTTCTGTTCTCGGCTCCAGTTGTGAGGCTGAGATCTACGCAGGAGCCATGGCTGCACTGGAGCTTCGCTGGCTCACCTACCTGCTGATTGACCTCGGAGAGCCGCCTCGTTCTCCTCCAGTGCTGTACGTAGACAACAAGGCCATGCTGGCCTTGTGTTGGGAGCAGCGATTGGAGCACAGAACGAAGCACATTGCTCTTCGCTTCTTTCTTGCTCGTGAGTTTAGCAGCGTGGTCAGCTGCGTCTTGCGTACGTGGCCTCTGAGGCCAACACTGCTGATATCTTTACCAAGGCGCTTGCGCCTTGTGACCATCAGCGCTTGCGCCTTGTGACCATCACCGCTTCTGTACTCTGCTGGGCCTTGTGCCTACCTTGCCTCACTTGCTCACCTCCTGACCTTGCTTGTACTGTTACATATATATATATATATATATATGCTCTTGCTTGTCTAGCCTTTTTATATATATGTACTCCTGCATGTGAACTGGCCTTGTGGCCTTGAACTTGTGCTCGGAATGTGTGGTGACTTTGTGATCCACCCTGAGCTTGCTTTGCTTTGCTTTGCTTGAGTGGTCTTATGACCCCTTGTTCTCCCCACTTTGCCTATCGGGGTGTGTGAGAACATTATAGCTCATGCATATTGTGTAGGCTATAGTGGGGTAGCCCATAAAGGGTACAACCCAATTAGGGTTAGTACTTGTACCCAATTCATTCATAGTTCATTCATTCTCGTTTTAGTTTTCTCACTCGCTTTAGCAGTTTTCCTACTATTTCGACCCTTATTATTCAATCACGGTACCTTCTATCCATTGCCCAAGGCCTCCCTGCCTAGTTATGCGTCCCGTCCCCTAGTCGCGCGCCCTGTCTCGTTGCCGCGCCCTGTCCCATCGCCGCACCGCCCTCCCCCTGCCCTGCCTCATTGCGAGCCCTACCCACCGCCACGTCGCGCGCCCTGCCCGTCGTCGACGTGCGCAGCTGTCCCGCCGTCGATTCGCGCGCGGTCTTTTTGCCGTCGATGCCAACGCGCACGTTTTGCTCACCACCCTCCATGTCCCCGACCACCCTTCCCTCCTCGCGGCCACCCTCCCATACCCTCTCGTGGGCGGCCTGCGTCACCTCCCTACAGGCGCCTTCCCCTCCCCTCATGGTTTGCCTTCTTCTGCCGTTTTTGCACCACCTCCTCCTTCTCCCCTCACCCCATCCGCCTCTTCACCCTCCTCCTCCTCCTCTCCCTATTCTTTCCTCCCTTCTGTGCCTCTCCTCCCATCCTCCACCTCCTTCCCCTCCACATCTGCCACCTAGCTGCGTGTTACTACTTGCCACTTGGTGATCGTGACCCTACTTCCTCCCCACAATCCGCTCCTTCACCCCCCTCCTCTTCTTTCTCTATTTTCCCCACCCTCTCACCTCTTCCTCCGCCTCTCTTCTCTCCCTATCTGCTGCAGCTGGTAGCTGTCCGTGTTTTGTCGCCTTCCACACCTTTCCTCCTCCTCTTCTTTCTCCCCTCAGTGGCGTAGTTGCAGACTACCCCGCCACTATCCCTCCTCGTATTTCTCCCCTCAGCGGCGCAACAGCAGACTACTTCGTAGCTATCCCTCCTCCTCTTGTTTCTCCCCTAAGCAGCGCAGCAGCAGACTATTTCGCTGCTATCCTTCCTCCTCTTGTTTCTCCCCTCAGCGGCGTAGCAGCAGACTACTTTGCCGCTATCCCTCCTCCTCTTGTTTCTCCCCTCAGTGGCACAGCAGCAGACTACTTCGCCGCTATCCCTCCTCCTCGTATTTCTCCCCTCAGCGGCGCAGCAGCACACTACCCCGCCATTATCCCTCCTCCTCTTATGCCTCCCCTCATCGGCGCAGCAGCAGACTACTTCGCTGCCATCCCTTCTTCTTGTATTTCTCCCCTCAACGGCTCAGCAGCTGACTACCTCACCCCTATTCCTCCTCCTCTTTTCTCTCCCCACAACTGCTTTATTGCTATTTCCTCCCCCATATGAGGCCTCTTCTCACTCTTACCTCTCTTCCTCTGCGCTTCCGCCCTCATCCTCCTTCTACCGTACCTCCTCTCCTACCCTTGCCTTCCTTACTCTCCGCTCCCTTCGCTGCCCCTTCCTCCCCTTGCACCTCTCCTCCTTGTCGCTAGACCTCCCCTCTTCTCCACTCCTCTGCTTTGATTCCGCTATCCCATCAGCCTCACCGCTCTTCTGCCGCTGTAACCTCTGGTATTGGTTCTCTGGTCTCTGTGTTCAGTGTGACCATGCCCTCTCAGGATAGCATCGTTGGTGCTTCTCCTCTTATGGACCCTCGCTTTCTCATTCCATTTTCTTCCCCGCTTCTAAGCACTGCTTCTCAATTTCCCATCCCTACGGCTGCCGCTCTCTCACTTCCTCGCACCTTGGATTTTGTCCTTGACAGTGTTGCTACTGGCTCTGTCTTTCGTGATGCTGGTGTTCTTCGCAATTTTCCTCGTCCCCTCTCTATTGATGGGGCTGGGGAGACCATGACCATGATCTGTACAGGCACTTCCTCTCTTCCCTGTCCTGCCTCTCCCTCTGGCGCTGTTATTGGCCTATATGTTCCCTCTTGCCGTCATAACCTCCTATCCCTTCCTGCCCTCCAATGCCTCGGTGTGCGAGCGCTCTTCCCCGCAGGTGCACTCTATTGTGATCTTCATTACCACGACCGGCACCTCGCTCGTTTCACCCTTTCCCCTACTACTTGCCTCTACACCCTTCATGTTCCCATCCCCTCATCTGTCCATCACACTCCCTCCTCTTCTGCCCCTTCCGTCTCCTCTTACGACTGTCGCTCTCTCACCCAACCTACCCTTCTTCTCCATCATCGCCTTGGCCTCCTTAACTTCCCTCTCCTTTGCAGCATAGTCAATTCGAAGCTGCTTCATGATCTCCCTTCCTCTCTCCCGCCCCTTCCCCCCTCTCCCGCTCCTCCATGCACCCCTTGTGTTCAGGCCAAGCTGTCCCAATCTCCTCATCCTTCTTCCCCTTCTACCTCCCCCAAACCCATTGATCTTGTGCATATGGACCTATGGGGTCCCTCTCCCATTGCCTCCTGTCAGGGTCATCGTTACTTTCTCCTTCTTGTTGATGACCACTCTCGCTTTGCCACTGTCTATCCCCTCCGTGCCAAATCTGACGCCCCCTCCCTCATCATTCGCTGGGCTGAGCAGGCGCGCCTTCGCTTTGGTCGTCCTATCCTACGTCTCCACTCTGATGGAGGTGGCGAGTTCTTTAACCACTCTCTCTCTTCTTATTGCTCCTCTCATGGCATTCGCCAAACCTCCACCCTTCCGCATTTTCGCACTCTCATAGAGATCACTTGCTGTCTCCTTACTCATGCCTCTGCTCCACACTCTCTTTGGAGCTACGCTCTTGTTCAGCCACTCTTCTTTCCAACCTTCGCCCTCATCCCCTTCGCCCTTCCATTACACCCTTCCAGCTCTGGACTGGCCGCCAACCCTCCGCCCGCCCTCTTCAGGTGTGGGGCTGTGTGGCTCATGTCCTCATCAATCCCGCCGATCGAGCACGTCAGGGTGGGAAGCTCGCTCTTAAGACGCAGCTCTGTGCGTTCATTGGTATCAACGCTGACTGTCCTGGCTACCTTTTCTATGCTCCCTCCTCTCAGCAGCTCATTCGCAGCCAGGATGTTATCTTTGATGAGACTCGTTCTCCATTCGTCACCCCCCCTCCCACCCCTCCTCCTCCCTCTTCGTTGGTCTCACTTTGATCCGCTGCCCTCTGCTCCTCCCTCTCCTTCTCCCCTTCCTCCTGCCCTTGCTCCGCCTTCCCTCCCTGCCCCTCCACCTCCCCCTCTGCTGTCATCTCTGGCACCTCTTGTCCTGCCTCTTCCTCTTCTGCTCCCATGCCCTCTCCTTCACAACATCCTTCTCCTCTCCCTCCTGCTCCTGCTTCCCCACCCTCTCCCTCATCACCTCCTTCTGCTACCCTTCCTTCAGCTCCTGCTCCTCCACCTTCTGCCCGTCTCACCCGCTCCATAACCAGTGCAATGTCCAATTTTCAACACTCTTCTCTCTTTATTCGTCTCTCTCCCTCTCCAAACGTCGATCTTCTCGAAGATCGCTTTGAGGAGGTTTTCTCTGTTCATCCTGTCTCACCCCTCCTTTGTGTCATTATTGGCGACTTCTCCAATTCTCCCACTCTTCTCTCCATTGACACTGCCGATATTCCCACCCCTCAGACCTATTCCGAGGCAGTGTCTAGCTTTCATGCAGCTGAGTGGATGTCTGCCAACATTGCCGAGTGTGAGGCATTCCCCCGTTCTTTCTGGTTACAGTGATTCCTCCTACGCTGATTCTCGCCCTGATCGCTGCTCCTCTCAAGGTTATGGTTTTACTCTTAGGAGTGGCCTCATCAGCTGGCGCTCCACTCGTTCATCCTCTGTCTGCCTTGCCACTTGCGAGGCTGAGTTGTACGCAGGCACGCTGGCGGCTCAGGAAGCTCGCTGGCTCTTGTTTCTCCTTGCTGAGCTTGGTCACTCTCATCCCTCTGTGACGCTTTCCTGTGACACTGTGAGCATGATTCACCTCACTCAAAATCCTGTTTATCACGCTCGCAGCAAACACATTGAGGTCCGCTACTTCTTCGTGCGCGAGCTGGTGCAGTCTGGCTTCCTTTGCCTTCGCAAGGTGGCCGCTACTGCCAACCTTGCTGACATTTTCACCAAGGCTCTTCTTCGTGCGCCACACCGTTTCTACGTGCGCGCGCTTGGGCTCACTCGTCTCGCCACTTCTGGGGGTGTTCCTATTCGCTAGGTGTTTTGTTCCAGAGCTTCACCTAGCCTAGGGGTGTGTTGGAGTAGGCTAGAGCTCGCTCTGATATTTATCCTAGTAATCTCTTGTTATTTCGCCATGTTTAGAGCGAGTTACACTTTCGGTTCAGTTTAGGTTCATTTCTTAGTTTCTAGCACAAACTGAACACACCCTAAGTTCAATTAAGGTTTCATATATTTGTATCTCGACACTCTTTCCTAGTACTAATTCTCTCGCTAGCTTCTCTCTTCCTAGCCATGGCTACCATACTCTCAGCCTTAACACTACTGTCGTCGATCTCCCACCGTCGACAGCCTCTTCGACAGTCCCTCGCAGGTCGACGACCACCTTCGACGACCTTCGTGTCGAGGGAGGCTGCTGATTCCCGTCAACGGCGGTGTCGCAGTGGTCCTCTGCAGGTTGACCCACTCTGTCAAACTGCACTTGTTGACCGGCTGCACCTCTCATGCACCCGATCCCAAAGTTGGCTTCGCTCAAGCGAGGGTGGGGCCAACACCCCATTCCTGTCTACACTAGGTATCTGTGAGAGTACGACGGCTTATGCCAGCTATGCTTGCTTGCCTTTACTTTATGATGCTATTTCTAGCATAGGATAATTATATGCATGCATGAATTGCTTTATTTCCTAGGCTAGGTGCTTTCCTATATTTTATTATAGTTATAGCACCGAGCTAGGTTGCGTGCACCGAATTCTGGCTTTTCAGTTGCCACCAAATTGCCTTCTACCGAATTCGGGAAGGATCTGTTCGGGACGCTTCGCGACCCGCGGAACCTTCGCGTAACACCTGGTTACGGGGCCTTGTGTCGAGCCTATATATAGCCTCGTGTTGTACCCAGGTGATCATTCAATTCACATTCTCTTTTCTGAGCTCGATCTAGATCCTCACATACCCTGTGTTGTTGCTCCTTTGCTTTTGCCATGGCCTCGACCCACTTGGGCTACCTGAGGGTGCGACATCCACCCTAGGTGAAGAGTCGGGGAGCCGTTGGAGACACAACCGCCATCTGCGTGCCCTGTTTCTCTTTTGCCTTTAACATGGCCTCCACCCCCCTTCCCCTCCTTCCCCTGCCCTTCCTCCCCCTGCTCTCGCTACTGCTGCTCTCCCTTCTTCTGCTCTCCATTCTACTTCTCTCCCTCCCCATGCCCTCCCTTTCCCTCCTCCACCTTCCCTTACTCCAACATCTCCTGCTCTCGCTTCCCATCCTTGCTGC